CTTTCGAGTGGTGCCATCGGGGGCTCTCACTCACATTTCTCGTCTGGAGATGCTCCGTCCTACACGATATCCGGGCCCACGCAAGAGATCAAATCGATCCATAAAATCCAAACGACGAGTTCTGGAGGGCATGTGCTTGCTAGAACGAAGAGCGCTACGGCTCAAGCTCCAAGAATAATTTTGGTGAAGCATGACACCTATGTTGGCGGTCATGGTGGTGACGCGAGCGCGAGCGGTAGTCAGCACGCGTTCCCGGCCAGTGCGGTAGATTACTCCGATGAACACCAGGCATACCCCAGCGCTCAGCACCAGATGACCGAAGCCCACGGAACTGTCGCAGGGGCTCCTGTTGATCTCTCGAGCGACCATGGAGGACACGGAGGTCAGGTCCAATTCTCTAGCGGTCATGTAGGAGACGTTGGAGAGGAAGAACTGTCGAGCGTCCATGATTCTCACGCAGACAGCTCAGACAACTCAAGTCCCCATGGTGAAGAGGAGGCCCATGGAGGCTTCGCGATGAGCAACTCTTTGAGCTACGGCGACTCCTACGGGGTCGGCAGCAGCAGCTCAGGATGGCATTAAGCTTTAGAACGTTCCAAAACTTAGCGTGGGAGGGATCCGCTGATTTTCCTCACTACTGTATATATGCGTGTAATTATTGTTTAGTCCAGTCATGAATGTCGAATAATAAAGAAAGATTTATTGGATCAATTATTGTTTCAACGGTTCCGCGAAACTTCAATCGGCTCCGTGTGCCCATCTGTCCGGTCCTTGGAACTTAAACCAAGATGTCGAATCCTGGTCCGCGCTCAATACCCCTTCGATCACCGTCCGTTCGAAGTCGGCCGCACACCGAACTTGCGTTGAACGCGTATGAACGCAAAATGTTGATTGAAGTTTTAAAGTAGACGGGAAGAAAGAGTCTGAATTTTCTGAAATTCTCCGCAATCGTGAGAGAGATTCAGGAGAAGATGCGAGGGCTTCGCTCGTCATCTTTGACCGATTTGTGGAGAGTCTGCGCTCCATCCCTCGTTAACGAGCGTAGATCTTCCTCGATGATATGTGCGTCTCTGATGGCGTCTCTTTCAGCCAAAATCCAAATCGGATTCAGTCGATGCATTCTGGAGCTCCATGGGGATTAGGCCAGAGTTGGGGAAATGGACCAATATTTTATTGTAACGCTCCTTGATATATCTGCATGACACAGATTTAACCGACTACCCAACAGATCAACTTTTACAGTCTACACATCCCATGCGATAGATCTGACTCAACAACCAGGCGGACCGCGCGAGTCCAAAGGGCTCCGACAACAGTCAGCATCCACAAAGATCCTCCTCGCCCCCACAGAAATCGGAGTGCACAGAATTTATATTTTTCCCCTGATACAAGAGTACGGATAGATGACTACCAAAGAAGCGGAGTCGCGGGACGAGAGACTGGTTCTGCCATTACACTGGAAGCCGGGTAGTTCAGCACGGGCCGAGTACTCGCGATCACAGCGGCGGTGTCTGCAAAATCCTCCGCATACATTCCAGCCATCTCTTGTTGGCGGTCATGTTATCTGAGCCTAGGGATCGCAGGGTGTGTGCCTCGGCTGCGGCAGCGCTGAACACACAGAAGAAGTCATCCCACTGGTCTTTCGTCCATTTCCGTGCTTCCGGCCGACCCGTACTTTCGAAACGAGTTTCGTCCTCCGCACTCGAAACTGCAGCCGATTCATCGCAGGATTCCCGTCGATCTCCACAAGCGATAAATCGCTCTCCACCCTGACATCCTCTAGCAATACGCTGCCCAGTTGAACCCGTCCTGGGACTTGCTTTTCGGCGAACCGACTTCTCCGGAGATATTATCGAGCCGCCGCCGGCTATCCACTCGGAGTCGGGCTTGCAGCGTTTCCCCGAGAAGTGGAGCTCTCTCGGCGATCCGCGTTGCCTCTTCCGTGTCCCGAGTGTTCCGCTTCCGTTTGAAGTGGTTTCACATCCGTTCGTGATTGTAACGCCAGCGTTCGTGTCGGAATCGTCCAAGGCACGGTTCGGGTTTCGAGCATCGATGTCGCATCCGACTCCGTCGTCGTAAGCTTCAGTCGAGTCGTCAAACTGAGACTCGACGAACTCGGCACCGTTCCCATCCAGACTAGGTCCATCCAACGAAGTATCGGCCTTCCTGCTGTCGACTTCGTAGTCACGATTGCAACTAGATCCACAGTTTTCCGAACCTCGGTCGATATCATCACAGATATCGTCCCCGTGAATCACCACGCGGAGATTCTTTCCGTCAGACATGTCGGTCGGAATCTTCTCAACGAAGAGGTACCCGTCAGCGTGAGAAACATCGTTGTTATTGTTCCTCTGAATCGAGTAGTCGGCTGCGCTCCGGAACAGATCCGAATAATCGCGATGAACGAGGGCTGACTGTACAGGGTGCGGCAGCATAAGCTACGATGTTTCTATTGCTCACAATTCCGTGATCAGAAGAGTTGTCGGAGTTGTCCTAGCGGCAAAAGATGCATCTGATTCCGCAGTTTTTTTCCGCGGTCATGGTGATCCCTAAGGACCGGGCTTGAAAAATTCGCGAACGGAAGAATCGAGAAAGCGACCTAAGGATGAGGAAGAAGTTTTTCTTTTTCCGGATCCGGCTCAATTCTCCGGAGCATGCATGCAATGCTCTCCGATGACTAACACTACCGCTGAAATCATCCCGTTTTTTGCTGGCCGCGTTCTCGAAAGCGATCGTCGGTTCACTTTGATCGAGGCAGAGGTTATCTCGCGATATCAATGTCGCTATTCACTTCGCTTATAGGGTAATGAGCTGGTTCTCCAGGTAAACCGGAAGAACAGCGGATCCCTTTCTTGAGAGACAGCTCCGGGTGTCGAAGATCGAAATCATTATGATTTGGACACCGAATGATTATTGCCGATTTTTCCCCTAGAGCCTCCTGGGCCCGAACACCACCCTGGTGAAATGCACAAACAGCCGTCTAGGGACATTTACCGGGCCAAGGCCCAGTCCCTTTTTCAGGCCTCTTTGGTCTCCGAGCTTGACTCGGTGCGTTTTCTTCATTGCTCAGGCCCCCAAAGCGGGTCCCGGTCGCGCGCGAGACCGGATGTAAACCCGGGCACTGTTCTCCCAGACAATGTATTCAGGATTTCTTGCGCTCTCAGACTCTTGCGTCTAGACCCTTGACCTGCACCCCCCCTTCACTCGCGACCGTGGTGAATCTTCCGATCCCAGGGGAAACCATCTGCTGAGCTTATGATCAGCGTCAAAAAGATCATTCCTCCAGAGCTGTATGCAACCGGCTAGAATCTCGTAGACAACACTTCAGAGCGAAGGTCGACGATTACTTCAGACGTGCTTCCTCAGAAAGGCAATGAGTTCGAGCTCATGTCCGATATCGACTTTTTTCGATTTGAAGAACTTCACACCGAGTTGGATGCTTTTGTCGAGGGACTCTGTTGAAAGTTCCGAGGAACTGAAATCTCAGTTGTGCATGTTCGAGAGGAACTCCAAGAGTGGAACAGCTCCTGTGAAGCCGGAGGCTCTCCATGTCAAACAACAAGAACAAGCAGGATAATCCGAGGAGTACCAGTCAAACAGATCTCAGGAAAACGATGTTCGTGATTATTGCAAGAAAAAGGGCCATTGGGTGAAGCAGTGTCGGGAATGGATAAGCGATGGAGGTCTGAAAGATTCGTCAACGAAGCAGAGCGTTGGCGATTTCAGAGGCAAATTTTCAATTTCAGACAATCGGCGCGGGGAAGAAGGACAGGAATCTGAGGACGACTATGACCCGGCTTTCTTCGAGCCGCTGGAGTTTGAGTTCGAATCAATAGGAAGATTCAAACAAGCAGTGATGATGCCTATGATCTTTCTGTGCAAATGCGATCAGGCGCATGACAGTGGCATTCGGCAGAACGGTCGAAATGGCGGGAAATTCGTGCGTTCCCACATGTCGGCTTGAGTTCCATCGCTCACCCGTGAATCTCAGCGATGACTGCATCAAAACAATCTTGTAGTCCAAGAGAACCCCCAGATCTCGAATCTCGACGGAGCCTGCTGCTTCACAATTGAACACCACTGCCCGGCCAGAAAAAAAAGGCAATGATGATTTTTGCTTTCGGGTTGGAGCGCGACATGGCGCATGGGATGGAAGCGAGTCGAGATTTTGCGGATAGAGCGATGAGTAGAACTGGGATTTCATCACAGGATTTACGGTCGCGCGAGAAGCCGTGGATTTCTCGCTTTTTTCCTCTCCAATGATTCATGGTCGGAGTCGACCTTTCTCAGCTCCCGCACTAGCTTATGGGCTGGTGGCATGCATCGCAGTGCACGGCACCTAAGTCGAGCACGCTGCCGTCGAGTGGACCGCTATTTCTTCGCACCTACTGCGAGGTTTCCGGACCCTACGATAATCCGAACCGCAGTCGGTTTCGGTAAGGAAGTGGGGGTTCCATCAACAGAAACCGTCGAAGTCCGGAACGAAGTCTCAACGCGACTCCCAGAGACTCTAGCTTGCAAAGATTGCCCTTTTCTCTGAGTGCCCGTGAATTGTGAATTGCAGCAGAACGGTCGTCTGTCTATGTTCCGACGTGCTTTGCGACGACCGTAGGCCGATAGGAGAAAGCAATCCCTCTATGCTTAACATGCTCTGCCAGAATGCAGAAATGCCAGAAATAGTTCGATGAGATGAATAAAAGAAGTCTGATAAGTGGTAAGCACGCTAAGAAAGATTCTTGAGACCGTTTCTTCTCTTTCAAAAATTTTCCCCCGGAAAATATCAATGGAGATGCGCAACTTTGGGCAAGGTTCCATGCGATTGAAAACAAATTCAAGGCACCGTGATTTACGGGACAATATGCCGTGAATTTCCGGAGAAAATGCCGTGATAAATTCCCAGCCCTAGCGATGAGTGATGAGGATTGATGAGCATCATCGCCCCGCGGCAAGCCGTTTACCTGAGCGATGAATGGCATGTAGGAAATCGAATACTCCGAGGATAAATAACATTCTCACAGGAACGAGCTGCGAGAGAAAGTTTCCTGTATTTACGACTCGCGTACCTGAATCTTTAACTACTATAATGGTATTCCGAGCAAATATCCCCGGACTCTCCCACATATTTTTTGTGCTCCCGAAGTTTCGGTTGACGGTCTCGGGTTCTCGTAGATCGAAAATCGAGGAATCGTGATCTCGGTGTTCGGCTCTACCCGGAACCGGAAATTATTTCCCGGTTTACGGCTTTACGGGAACCCAGGGCTCCGGTAGAGCAGTGAGCTCCAAGTGCGTTCCGGGCGCTCTGGGTTGCGTGATTTGGCAACGGGTTGGGTAAGGACGATTCGGTTCCTGTAAGAAGAATTATATTGGTAACGGAACTCCGAAGACCATCGGACCGGCCACGAGAGGCGTGAACGATGCAGAAAATTTTCGGGGGATCTTCTTAAACATCTTTGTTTTGTTCGCTTCCATCCCTCTCTCTGTTCTGACCTAAACATGTTCCGGCAGACCCCTCGCGCCGGAAAATCTCGCTGGCTCGAGGAGCTATTAGAGATGTGTCTCGGATCGTGAAAGCGGATTTCTTTACAATACATTCCGGGAAATCCCAGGCTGTCGCGCCTATGAACTTTCTACGTTTCTTGCGGCTCAATCCCACGCAGCGAATTCCTTCAATGAAATCGAAGCATGGCAGTTTTCCTCTCATGAATCTACCGCTTCGATCAATCGGAAAATATAATCTTCGTGATGGTGAGCGTACCTTGCCGTGGGAATCTTTTCTTCGCCCAGAGAACCTTCCTGGGACCGTGTGCTCGGGGTTCTTCGCGGAGGTTCTCGATTTCTCTCGTCAATTCGAGGATGGAATTCATTAACGGCGACAAGCCTGAGGGAGAGAGTCATTATTCTAGAACGAGAGAGTTTGATCGGGATTTCGGCACTGATTTGAAATTTATTCTTCCGGCGAATGCGCGCGTCGACTCGGCAGCCGGTAGACTTGCCCGTCGCGACCCCAATCAATCACCACGCACTCGTAGCACTCCCGCATGGCATACCTCCCCATCGAATGGGGGGCAACGATTCCGATTCGCTTACGGAGAACATTCAAGTTCTACTCCCGCCTCCCTAGCTCAAGTCCCGCGGCTCTGCGCTGATCCTTGGGCAGAAACCGATAGAAAAGAACTTGTGCGCGGAATGAGAAGCCCCGACTTGGAGAGCACGACAGGACGGGATCCGCGAAATCGATGAATCCATGCAACGGAGTACGGCTCTTCTCCAAGCACTGATGGAAGGATTTCCTACCTGAGCATTCGTCCACGGGGATTCCGGACGAATCCATCGGAGATTTTTGGGAAGCGTGTGCGAGCAGATTATCACTCAATGAGAGAGCGGGAACGAGGTGGGTATCCCGCCGAGGGAAGGGCCGGATGTGACAGACCCCCTTCTTTGTATATTACGGTTCTTAGGAGAATATGATTCGAACATCCACAGTGCGGTCGATGTCGCCCGTTTCGAGTCTGACTGACGTCCAAGGCATGTTCGAACAAGCGAAAATACGGTCGGTATGGGCCTTTCAGAGACGGAACTTCTGCAGAGGGAGAAATTGCTTGCGCGTTCGGATTGACCAATTAGTCGATTCCCCCACTCCGGATCGCAGACGCGAGACAAACCATCCACAAAGAGTTGTCAAGCGGTAGTAACCGGGCAAGTTTCGCCAACATGCAATCACTCTGCGCTCACAGTCAGATCAAACTTGTACGGGTAGTAACAGCAGCGCCGATGCGCTCCACTTACCACGGCTCTCCTCTTTCCTCTGTCACGGAAACCCGTACACGGCGCGCCGAATCCTAGACACCAGCCGCAGGAAAACATAACACCATCATCATCGTCCATCAGCTCTCTACAGCCAAATCGAATGCGCGACTTCGAATTCTACGATTAACTCCGGTAGATCCCATCGTGACGACGTGAATTTCTTGTCAAGAGCTGCGAGCTAGGCTCGAAGCGCAATGCTTCGCGCGATGACGCGCCTGCTCAAGCCGTCCACGGTTTTGGCATGTGCGACCCGAGAGACCGACAGCAAAGTTCGCGCACTTCACATGTCGGCTGTGCTGCGGATGTTCATCCAGACCCGAGAGACCCCGAACCCGAATTCCTTGAAATTCCTGCCGGGAGTCAAAGTTCTTGAGGAAGGTCAAGGTAAAGATTTTCCGAACATAACCACCGCGAGGAACAGTTTACTCGTGAGACAGTTGTTCGCTATCCCCGGAGTGGACCGTGTCTTCTTGGGTCCGGACTTCATAACAGTGACAAGATCCGATGACGCTTTGGAGTGGACAGCCCTGAAAGCGTCGATATACGCAACAATGATGGATTTCTTCAGCTCCGGACTACCGATATTCGAGACCAGCGAGCCTGTGGGAGATTCAGGCGGCTTGTCCAACGTCGACTTCGAAGAGAAAGATCAACAGACTACCGCTATGATCGCGGAGCTCATAGATTCGCGTATCCGACCGACTGTCATGGAAGACGGCGGGGACATTGTCTTGAGGGCATTCAAAGATGGAATCGTAGAACTCGAACTTCAGGGATCATGTACGAATTGCCCAAGTTCATCGGTCACGTTGAAGGCTGGTATAGAGAATATGCTGATGTTCTACGTTCCTGAAGTTAGAGGTGTCAAAGAAGTTCTATCCAAAGAGGACGAGTTGTCGCATAAAGAGTTCCAAAAACTCGAGGAAAAGATCCGTACGAAGCCTCCTCCAGAGTAGATGATAAGCTAATTTTGTTGACAGAGCCATGTTCAACAATGATTCATGTTCTGATCGCAGTCGATGATCGAGAGGTTTCTATGCACAGATAGACGTCCCTCCAATGAAATGAGAGAACTGACCTGTAATAAATGAGAGGGTTGGAATAACTTGGGCATTTTATATCTATAGGTCTTGATTCCGTTCGACGAAATCCATAGGACCTGAAGGCAAGTTCCGCTTCCGGAACGGGATGCCGCGTTGAACCACCCCTAGTCCCACCGGTGCCGAAGAGACCTCCGCACCGATCGCCGCGATCTAAGATTCTCCCTCATATGCGGAATTCGACATGAACTCCCGACCCGGCGCAAGCAAAATCGACATCCATAGCCTACATCACATTATCTTTCCCCCTTCAGAAAAATCATCGGAACTCATCCTTGGGGGCTTCTCTTCTTCCTGCTAGCGCTGATTACGTAATGTTCTCCGACACCTCGAAGAGGATCAGCCATCCTGGCGGATTAGCCTCGCGTCATGTTCCCTCGCCGATCCCGACCACGTCAAGCGCGCTCGGGAGCATGAGTAGAGCGGGGATTATCGTCAGTTCTCCGGCAGCGAATTAGGGATTCAGTCCACAGAGCGAGAAGTTCACTATCGGAATCGCAGCATTCCGACCGAGATTCCACTTGTCCCCGGAGATCCCGGCGATGGATTGAAAATCCTTTTTTTAGCGATCCCGAATCACGAAGCACAGGGCCACTGATTCACTTCAGGAATATGATCCCATGATGAGACTGTGTGATAAACGATTGTTGCAGCTTCGCGACGAATAGCTACATGCAATCAGCTGCAGCCTTGGTGAATAAATAGAATCGCTGACAGCGGCGCTTGTGTCCTTTGTGCTCATTTGGTCGTTGGTCTCGATTCCGCGGTGGACTGAGTGGATATCATCTAGAATCTAGGTTAGCCATACCGGAAGGTTAGGACAGGTCGGTAGCATATCCAGAACGTAAACGGCAATGGAAGGTGCTCGAGAGGTACTCATGCAGCCTATCGCAATCACGAGACAAATTCAATACGAGAGCCCATGTGAAGCGCCCCATGTTTTTCAACTCCTAAGGAAATCTGATGCGGTTGGAAGCCCCGGGCTACTTGAAGGCGGGCTCCACCGCGCAGACGCCTCGAGGCTCAAGTTCTGCGGTCGGAGGATTTCGCGTGAAGAGCTTCTCCAAACTGGATGGATTCCACCTTTCGTGCGCTCCTCGTGCTGCTGCTGCTGCTCACCGAACTCACGAGAGTCATCATGAAACTGCGAGGCTAAATCAATTCGATGACAAGTTTGACATGCTGATTCGATCACTCCGAAGTTCCGCATACAGGGACATATCATACGTATGGGGGACTTTCGCATGGGCGCCTCGCTCTCAACATGGGACCAATCGGAAACGGAAAGAACTCGAAGCGAGGGTCTCTGAGGTACTCGAATTCCTTGAAGCCACCCATGAATACATTCCACGCGGAACCGATCGATATGAATCGATTCCTTCTTTCTTCCTCTCACAATATTCTCACGCGAAAATAAACACGAAATGGTGGCACCGCCATGAGATCACATGCGGAATGACCTCGACGGTATCTAGGCTAGGAGAATAGAGTAGGAGGACAATCAGGGAGTGATGAGCATCTACTCGTCTGGGGACCGATACCGCGCCGAGAGACAACGAAAAATCGGGCGTCGGGCTTCTCGGTCGGCCAGGGAGCTCAATCCGTAGAAGTGCGGATCAAGTTTTATTGACACATGGTGTGCGGGATGGTGTTTTCATCACCGTACGCGCGATCAATTTCAGGTATCGGGTGAACGTTTCGGGCTTTCCTTTGTTACGCTTTCGAATAAAGTTCAAAACTGCTTGAGTCGAGCTTGGTGGGGCCGACACGAAACATTCGTGGATTCCCGGAAAAATTGGTCTCCGAGATTCCTGCGATGTTGGAACAGTCGTCCGAATGGAAGATATCTGTCCGTCGGGATGGAGAGTTCTCAATGGGCAAAAGGGGGGCGAGGTCTTATGCGGGAGCCTCCAAGGTTCTCTCCCACAGTCTGTTCTCAAGCCGGAAAATCCATCCGGGGTTTGGAGAGTGATTCAACCGGGCAGGCACTGCGATAAAATCAGAGGCGAATTCACTTTCAGCGCCTCCGATGCTCCACATCGGGGACCTCGAGCTCCCGCTTCCGTACTTTTCCAGCAATTGAACATGCTGATGCTGATGGCGACTTGAAAGAGGCCGGAGTGCGCAGGCCGACATCCGGGTCTCCGATCGTTCACACAGATGTCACTGTGTACAACACAAAAAACTTTATCGGGCTCTTTCGTGGCACATGTGATATCTACGTTGCAGCCGGGCGGGAAAAGTATTCAGTGTCCGTGTTCCGTGCGGAACTTATCAACTGAAATATTGGCAGCCGTTCTGGTTCCTTTGACTGCCGGTGAATCCTCATGTCTCCCGACATGCGGTTGGTGCTTCAATTCAGTGCTTTCGTTGCCATCTGCTGCGCTTCCTCTGGAGGGGATGAGGGTCGGTCCGAAATAGGAGGTACTTCCCGCTCCAATTCTACGAGCATCGTCATTCAGATCGAATTATCAAATAGATTGTAGGTCCTGGAGAACGGATGGAACCCTTACGTGGCGAGAGAATTCGTTTAGTCTCGATCCGGAATCGTCGTCAGCAGAGACCTCCCTCCCTCTCTAATAGCGTCTCCCGTCTCAAAAGCTGCACAGATTGCCTAGCGGAGAAGGACCAGGGGATCGCGAGGATTATTCTGAAGCTTAGCTTACATTAGATAAAAGGCGCCGGTCGGGTCCCTCACGTCGGCCAGAAGCGATGGATTCTGACCGAGCTTTTTGCTCCGAGTTCATCTCATTGTGAGACACATCAGACTCCAGCTGAATCTAGATATTCAATTCATAATCTTTGTACCATCTTCCTTGATACCCCCTGGGTTCCCTCCGTTCGGCCAACGGATCTGAGGTCTCCTCTTTTCTACCTTCATCCGGTCTGCCTGGTTTCCATCATTCAATTTCGGGTGCCAGAGCATCTCGACTTTTAATTCGAGTGCTATCTCCTTCAAGGGAAAATACTCGGCGGAATCGGCGGATTGAGCGGGCTCGTGGGAGGTCTCTCTATGCTCAAAGGTTTTGACCCCGCGATGGTCACGAAGCTGGAAAGGTAGGTTGATAAAGATCTCAGCTCGATGATGACTTGATCCGATTCCTGATTCGCACGAAGTGCCCGGATTTCTCTTCCGCGCTCCTGGCTTAAGCAGATTCCTGGAAAGGCATCGGAAACGATCGGACCGCTCCCAACATGGGTCGAGAAAAGTCGTCACGAGCGGTCCCTCGTGGCTGCTCGGTCTCTCTCCAGTATACATATAATTAGAGCCAGGCGTTTCAGGCACTAAAAACGCGCCAAATAGGCAGGCAAAAAGGCACTGAAAACTTGCGAAATAGGCACTTAAAACGGAAAATAGGCATTTATCACAATGGAACAACCAGTCCTTCAAGTTTATTTATTCGGCTACGGGAACATTACACAGACCAATGATATGATGTTTTACATTTTCGGCGGTTAAGGAGTATCGTCTATCGGATAGAAGCGCCTTATAACGAGAGAAAGATCTTTCGACGTCGACGCTCACCAGTGGAGCAAAGGTGAATGAAGAGAGTTCAGAGGCGCTTAAACTGGAAATTTCGTCGGACAGTCCTTCGCCTTCGAGAGCTCGCTGGATCATGGAGACCGTTTCGAATCCGGCATTTTTTTCCAACACTCTTTCGAGTTTAGATCTTATTAGCTCAGCCTTTTGACCGACACCGCCAATCAGACTCTGCCTGATCTCATCAACGATTCCGAGCGTTATCGACAGACGCTGAGAACTGCATTCCAGTCTCGTTATGCTTTCTGGGAGTCGGCAGTAATTTGAGGCAATCGAAGCGAGGTTGGATTTCACGAAAGGATCGACCATGAGCTCTTTCGATTTCCGAATCGCCGCTGCCTCGCTACCATCGAGCTCAGCCAGAACTCTCGTGATTTCGTTCAGGTTCCTCGCGTAGTACAATGCTGCAGACAACCAAGTGCACCATCGGCTCAGGACAGGTGCGGGAGGGAGCGGAACAGACGGTGCTACCTCTCGGAAAACTTGGACTCGAGATGGAGCCTTAACAAAAACCTTCTTCACGTTCGCGATCAAGGAGTCGACTTCAGGGAAAGAAACGCGAATCTCTTCGCAGACTCGATGTACTGCATGTGCTAAACAAGTGACATGGATCATTTTGGGGAAGAGTACACTCAAACCGTTCCCTGCCTTCTTCATGTATGGCGCTGCGTCCGATATGAACAAGAGGACTCGTTCATGCTTGATGCCGGTCGGCCAGAGTAGACTCAAGGCATTCGTGAATGCCTGAGCGATGGTAGCGTGATTGGTACGCTCGACAATTTCACATCCCATTAACATCGGTTTCGAAGCCTCTTCCGCGCTGAGACAGCCGATGACAGTATTAACTACGTACTGGCCTCGGGAGTCGGTGGTTTCATCTACTGAAACCCAGATCCGATTATCCCCGACGGTGTTTCGGATCCTCTCCATAGTCGCTTCGTACAGTTTCCTCAGGTAATTCCTGCGGAGTGTTCTTGGGTCAGGTACCTTTTTTTCGCTGCTCCACTTTTCGAGAAATCTGCGAAACGATTCATGCTGAGCCTTGTGCAGCGGTATGTTGCACTGCACCATCATCTCGCACAAGTCCATGCTGAAAGCGCTCTCTCTACTAGACAGCTCCACGTAATTTTTCAGGAGGCAGAGTGTCTGATCCGTATCCTTCGTTTTCTTAGCGCGTTCCTGGTGACTGGCGCTCTTCAAGTGTTGCTGTACGGAGTATTTCTTCTCCGCATTCACCACTTTCGCACACAATTTGCACGTAAGAACCGTTCCATCTGTGGTGAGGCAATCGGGACCCAGTTCTTTAACGAAGAGCTCCATTTTGAGCCTTGCGGTTTTCGCTACTTTCGGCATTTTTAGCTTTCTGGATTTCAACAAATGATTGGAGCTGCCCCCCTCGTGATGTTTGGGATGAGCTGTGATCAGCTGTGATCACCTGTCATATAGCACTTGCACATGTGCACACACTGGCACCTGGCGTACTCCTCTCTAACTGATAGCATCTGATATCTTCCGTCAACGCAGAAAGGATGCGCGACAGTCGGTTCTCTCCGCGTGGAATACGGCCAAAATTACGTATGAAGGAGTGAATAGTGCACTCCGAGTGGGGTGATTATTTCAATCTCATAATATCCTCAGCTAGGACACGCCCCGACCACCATAAAATCGTTGGAGACATTGAGACTTGTGGCCATGAGAGGAAATCCGGCCGGAATAGGCAAAATGCCTATCGGAAATCATATTTTAGGCAAAAATAAGAAATATCGGGAAAAAAAGCATTTTCAGGCACTTTAGGCATTATGCCTGAAACGCCTGGCTCTACATATAATGCTTCCCCGGAGGCGCATCGATTCGGCCATTGGCAACCTCCAATATCATCATCATTTAAGCTGGGGTTGAGGGACAATGGGTCAAGGAATAGCAGGCGTCACCCTGAAGGTCAAGATACATTCATTCTAAGGTCAGAGATTGTCCTGTCTCATCACTGTCATCTGGAATGTCTTCCTGCAAGGGTGAATCCTGCACAATATATTCAATTGGCAACTGCTTATTGCGCATGGATTTCACTTCATATGTAGAACAGCCGTTTATAGTCGCGCCGCCACGTGCCAGCAGCGCCGTGATTGCATAGTGGTAGGAAAGCGTCGAACTTGCCAAAAGAAAGCAATAACTGGAGAAGCGCGTGAATCGAGCCGGACTTAGCGATTTCATTAAATAGGAGGATTATTGGGACGTATCGACTTCATTCTGATTGGAGGGCATTCCGCCTATCATTCGAACCTCCAGAAACCACCGTCTGATTGAGAACTGCCCGTTCGCAACCTCCGTACTGAGTTTCTCTCAATCCGGGAACGAGCGCCAGCTCACAGATAGTTCACGAGGAGCTCCGTGAGTCTCGTGAGCTTCGTCTTTGACGCTTTCACTTCATAGTCGACAGATGTCAATGAGTGAAAAAGTTCTCAACACCCTTCATTTACCGGAGATACGTACGAAAGGATTTGGAGGCCCTCGGCTCGCACCGTTCATAGCAATGTTCCTAGCGTAGAGTCGGGAATGGACCATCGATTCCATCGTTCTACGATTCCAGAGTGTCCACGGAACCCTAGTCGTAGGGAGGACTGATTCTAAACTCTTTCCCATCGAACGATGAGACGAACATGTTAGACTTATCTGGCGAGTTACGCATTTAAATTAGCTGCTTTCCAGGGTTCGGGATGATCTCTTCCGAAAATCGATCGAACTTGCCTTCGATCCGCAGATCCAGCCCGCATGCAGCGCGGATCTCAGGAAAATCGCAGCAGGATTGCAGCATATGGAGTTTTGGGCATACGCTTGTACGTGTTTCCCGGAAAAATCTACGAAAAATTATTTCGTGGCTCGGACGGAAGGCGCTGTCATTGTCGAGAGATTTCAATTTGACTTAATTTCTAATTGACGACAGTTCTGAGGTCATCTGGTGGATTGCCCTCCTTGGTGGGCGGCCAATCTTCGGAAATGGGAAAATACGATGTCTGTCTCGACACGAAAGTGAGGAACGATGAAGGCAAGTGATCGAGTCTGATCGGAATCGTATGCCCGCCCATTCGCGGGTCTCGTTCGACTGGGAATTCGACCGGGTTTGAAACTCACAATCGGCATTTCTCGCACAGGAGAGATCGCTTTCACGGGTAGATACTGCACTGTGGTCCTTTATTTCAATGGAACGAACGTCGGTACGACTATGAACTCACTCTTGCCCTACTTGAGAGCTCAGGTACGTGATTTTCACTTTGGGTTCCTCAATCCATCGATCTGGAGCACGAGATTTCTCATCGCTTTTGGGCCGCATCCTTAAGGAGACCTTTCCCTCCTAGCATCCGTCGATCAGCGACTTGGGGGATATCTCGAAGTTCAAGTCGGAGATTGGTGGAAGGTTCCGACCAAGTTTTCGGATCGGAGTTTGCTTACCTTCGAGCTGTCAAAAGCAAACACTCGAACACGTTCTTCAAATACGTAATTATCGTTTGGACTCCGCTCAGTCGGCTCTCTTCCTTTCCTTGGCAAAGCTAATTGTCCGAAGGAGGAGTCTCCGGAGCAGTACCGGGAAAGCGTCAGAGCACAACCTGAACGAGGCATTCAAATTCCAGTTGGCGGGGACTACGGAGTCGTGCCGGAGGTTCTCGCCTGCAAGGCCGAATCGGATCCGACACCAATGAGGAGTTCTCCGAGGCTGACCATGTGAGATACATCTGATTTCATCTGGCCTGGGCGGAGATGACCTTATCGAAGGGAGGATTAGAATAACACGCTGTTTCAGGCTTGCCGTCATCTCTTTGGTGGCTCTCTGTGCGGTCGGTAGCCTCTTCGAAGCCGAATCGCCTGCTCCGCGAGAATCTAAGGGAGGACTTTTGCCTGAGTCAAGCGCGCACCTAAAGCCTATGAAAGGTGGATAGAGGAGGAGTATGTTCGAGAAGTTGTCAGAAGACCAGTATGATTTCGTTCACCATATTTCGAAGCTTCTGTCGAACAAGCAGATATATCTCGGTTTATCCGATCTGATCAGATGTTCCTAGTTCGCAGCTGGCGAGACCATGATTCTCGACCAGCACTCTGATGGAGGCCACGGGTTCGCATCGGTTCCATTGTTTCAGAGGGAGGATGCTCAAAATATTCTTCGAAAGTTAGAAGTCCCGGTTTCCAGCCTTCCTTGAACGGTAGCGGAATTTCCCGATTCTGACGAGCTCAAAGCTCTTACATCTCTGGCTCCCTGCCGACAGAGTGTATCTTCATTTGTATGGGCGAGAATCGGAAGTCTTCTCCCTCTTATCCGTAGCCGTACTCACATCAGTACGAATCTCCCGACGAGGAATCCCGACGCGGTTTGGATTGGGGACGGAGGTTCGGTTCCGTTGGCGGACCAGGTTTCCCCAAGCACACCATTCTGAGCGCCGCGGAATGCTGGAGCAGGTGACGGTATTCCTCGTCGATTCTTTCGCGGTGCGGAGTCCCTTGTCCTCTCTGGGACAGAACAATCCCCGCCTCTGGTGTCTGAAACGCCGCACAGAAGGGCCTAATCGAATTTTAGGTGGGCAAAAGTCCATGGAATCGATCCCGGAATTTCGATCGGTTATTGGTTTGAAAATGTTCTTAAGACTCTGAAAGTCGCGGGGGAACCATGATTACCACATTTTCCGCATCCCCCACCCAGCCTGGCACCTGCGAGGATAAAATTGATTTTTTTATCTTTACGACGATTTTCATGACTTTCTCCCCCCAATCGGTGATGCTCGGAAATGAACACACTTCGTGCCCTCGCATTGGGGGAAAACTATTTTCTGCGCTCAGCTCCCACCCTGATCTCGCAGTCCCACATGATTCCGGTCAAGTCAGCCGATTCTGGACTTGTTCGGAGTTTCTAAAATTCTCGATGTCTGAAATGCGGTGTCCCCACGTGTCCCCCCTCTGATTTTCTGCCTTTTGGGGATCTTCGGACCTCTACTGGCCGCAGGAGAAAAATTGAGGCGCGAAATCCAGCGGTTCTCGAATGCTGTCCAGCCAAAGTTGGGAGCTGATCTCGTGGATCGGGACCATTCTCATGTAGCTTTTCGAATCCAAATCAGCACCAAGAGATTGACGTCCATATGTCGGAGGCAATTGACGTTTTTTCCGTTCCGAAACGTAGGCGTCGCGTCTTGGCGCGGCGTTGACTCGTTCCCAGAGTTAAGTGGAGAGCGAAAAGAGAGCGACAATGTTTCCCAACTGCTGGTGCTGATTTGGATACGAAAAACTACATGAGAATGGTCCCGATCCACGAGATCAGGTCCCAAAGGCTGAACAGTATTCGAGAACCGCTGGGTTTCGCGCCTCAGTTTTTTTCCTGCGGCCAGTAGAGGTCCGAAACTCCCCAAAAGAAATGAAAACAGAGGGGGGACACGTGGGGACACCGTATTTCTGACACCGAGAATTTAACGAATTTCCGAACTTTTTCGTCTCGGCGAAAAAGTCTTCCCAGCAAGTCCACAACCGGCTGACTCGACCGGAATCATGTGGGATTGCGAGATCAGGATGGGAGCGCAGAAAATAAATTTCCCCCGATGCGAGGGCACGAAGTATGTTCATTTCCGAGCATCACCGATTGGGGGGAGAAATTCATGAAAATCGTCGTAAAAATAAAAAGATCAATTTGATTCTCGCAGGTGCCAGGGTGGCTAGGGGATGCGGAAAATGCGGTATCATGGTTCCCCCGCGACTCCCAGAGTCTTACGAACATTTTCAAACCCATAACCGATCAAAATTCCGGAATCGATTTCCATGGACTTTTGTCCACCTAAAATCCGATTTGGCCCCACTGTGCGCCGCTTGAACACAAAAATCGCTTCACCGGGCTCCGCCGTCCCGATCTAGCGTGAGCTTCTCGAGCGGAAGTAAATCCAAAGGTTTCCCCTCGGAGGAATGCGCGCGGACGGGCATGCGGCTTCACCGGTTTTCACGGACCGAGACGTGATGGAGTCCGGCTTCTTCCGCGGGCTTGAAGGTGCGCGAACTCACTCGAGAGAGGGAGAAAAGCAAGGTTGTGTTCTTTCGGATGATACCGAATCACAGCCACTTCCCTAAATGCTTCCACTGTATAACTCGGGTCATGACTAGGCATTCCATCCGGAAAGTCTCTGGGAGGAGCGGAATGCTTCTCGAATCAGACAGATCTTCAATCGAGACCAGATCGATTTCGCCAGCTCCCCCGAGTCTCTCACAAGTAGTTTGTAGATATGAAATGCTTTTATTGTGCTCTGCACAGACTCAGCCCGCGAAATTCTTCGCTGCTTCTCGATTCAACGCAGTTGGAAATCCATTTTCGTCAAAGACACCAAGGAGAGCGACAAATATCTCTCCTGCCTCCACGGCATCCGCGCAATCGCAGCTTCGCAAGTTCTCTGGGCTCACGTCTACTGCTTGAACGATCCCCGGAACTTCTGTGAGTCCGCTCCTCAATCGGAGGCGCTCTTTCGCGATGCTTACCACGCTACAAATAGCATCCAGAAAGCGCATAAAGAACATCTGTTCCAGACAATACATTGAGTTTGCTCGATTGGGAGAGCCGCGATCGGAGCTCAACTATCCTGCTCGCGAAATCTTACGTTGTCGACACGTTCTTCTGCCTTTCCGGAGCGATGGCATTGAGGTCGTCTCTGAGGACTTTACAAAAAGGCAAAGTGAGTGAACTACTTCGAGTCCCTACGCCAGGACGCCGGATTCGGGCGATTGATCTCTGCCGCCGTAGGATCGGTTCTTCAACTCCATATTCCATCCAACCGCCGCGCATGCGGTTTATGTTATCGAACTCTCTTTGAGTTTTCACCTCGCAGATAATGACCGCTGTTTCTGCTGACTTGATCATACGCTGGATTCGACTGGCGGTCCCTTCGATCGCAGCACAAGGGGTCGCCGTGCTAACGCTGCATTACACTACCGGCAAGTCCAGCGCTTCAACTCAATATAAGTATAATATCACGCTCGATTACCGACGACACCGGCGAGATCAAGAAAAGCTCCAAATGGGAGCTCCCTGAATGATTGCCGTACAATTCACCGTCATCCGCGGATTTCATGCGCGGAGGATGCCGTGCTCTCTGAAGGACAAAAGAGGTCTGAGGATCGGAGAACCATCAGACAGACAGTTTCTTGAGCCCGGAGTCCCAAAATTGGGAGGAAGAGATTTGATCGCATCTCCGGGTCCAAGAGGATCTGAAATAATGTGTCGAGCGATCATCTTCTGTCAAGAGATCTCCCACCCAAGAAATAAGTTTTCTGTCAATCGAGGACTCTCGTGGCCTGGACGGCTGGAAGCAGCTCGGAGAAGCTAGAAAGGCGACGAATCCACAAGTTGTTTTCCAGGTCCTTTCAAAGATATCATCAGCGAGCACGTTTCAGACAGATGCAGCAGCATCTGGGGTGCTGCCTTCCTGCTCGAGAATACGAAGCACTTCGAGGACGCATGCCTGATGCAATTGTGGTGGGTTGTTAGAATCGCACTTCCGAAGGAAACGCGGGCTTTCCCTCCTGCGTTCCTATAAATGAAAATCTGGGCACAGATATTCGGCGGTGTTTCCTCAGAGTGCCTTTCGCCCCTCGGATGACTGAATCATCGATAAATGCACATCCAGAAGAGTTTCCGGCGATTTCCCGCAGGCGTCTCTTCTCCCATGGGGGATCCCAATCGTGGTCAGAGAAATGATCGCGGTCCGCAAAAAAAACCCAGGCTCCGTTTCTACCACAAAAACGTCTTATCTATCTGGTCTTTGTCCTCCGGGATCTTCTGCCGAGCCTAAAGACCGAATTATTTTCCCAGGTACGTTGCGGTGGACTATCAGTTAAGGGTTCTGTTCCTGATCCCCCTCATAGCGATCGCATCTCATTCGAATCGAAGAGTCTTGGGTTTCTCGCTACTGAGTACCATGGTGAGCACATTTCCGAATGAAACTCCGCAGAATCCTGACTGATATGAAGTTTCGCAGATCTGCCATCCTTGCAATTTTGAGACAAATTGCTCCTGATGTTCGATCTCTTCCGTGCAGCTCCTGGTGTCCATATTCTATGTGGCGATTATCACCTACGTTTACCGGCTGCCACCCATCTTCATCATCACACCGAAGTTCCTACCGGTAGGAATCGAGCAAGAAAAGCTCGATAAAGGACCTGAAAGTATATGCATTGATTTGGGACACGTATGAGATCCTGACGGACTGAATCGTCGTACACTCATTGGGTGCAATGGTTTTCTCAGGTGGGATTAACCTACTTCTATAAAATAGTTATCTCGCCCATGTCTCACATGGCGAGTTTCGCGGTAGGTGTGTGTTTGATGAACTTCATCGAAGAACAAAGGAGCGGTGAGTCAGGGATTCGCCGAATCGAGCTACTTGTCATATGGGTGACCGTATCAATCAGAAACCCAAACTCACTCTTCGATGGGAGTTTCTCGAAACACGTTGTAATTCATCCACAGGAAGAATGAGGAAATTCCCAAGAGCCGTCATAATCCTGCTATGGATCACTGCGATAATCATTGGACTCATGATAATCAGCGGTAAGTATCCGCCGCTGTCTTCATACTTTTTTCCAGATATCGTGCGCAGGCAGTCGGGCTCCGATCGACAGCGTCGGCGCCTTTCCGGAGATGGGCACCTCGGGATTGTCGGAGCGCTAGTTTCTATCGAAATTACTCGTGTGTTCCACCAGATATTTTGATATCCACCGTAATATTCGGCATATTCGAGAAAGCTGTGAGAAATTCTCCCTCTCCCACGTTCTTCAATCCATCAAATGTCATTCAAGCGGTAGGGATAAAGTACGGAACGTGAATCGATTACTCGAATGTCATCCTGCCTCGCCGACCTGAGTGCTCACCCCAGAGTGCGTCCATTGGACACGTCACAGCCGCTCTCTCGATTTGGAATACGGTGCTCGACGCTGAGATGTATCATTCGTCTAATTGGCGTCTGGGAAACCCGTCGTGGAGGGGCGATTCCTCGTCGATCCCGATGATGCGATGACCTGCACTCTTCTCGGGCAGCTGACGGACTGGATTCGAAAAGGAACACCCTGGACACCGGATGTGAATTCAGACGGAGAAGTCACAGATGGTGCGGGAGGGTAGCAGAAGTCGACTCAATTGACAGGAGTCGACTTAAGAATTCTGTGTTTTGAGAAACAGCCGAGAATAGCATTGACTTTCTAAATCTCGAAGGAAACCTTCTTCCACAGTTCCTTTCCAATGGCAATCGGGTGGCGATCCGGAGACCTGGGGAAATATTCTCTTCTCAGGATTTGGTCGTACTTTGTGGTGCATCGCCCTGAGCTCGATTATCTATTGCTGCGCGATGGGCCATGGAGGTGAGCTTGCTTCGTGGTGACATAAAGCCCGAAATCTGTGACCCCCCTAACAACGGGTCACAAATGTGGCGGATCATGGACATAAATATGTGAACTTATTTTCTCTCCGTCTCCAATCAAGCTATCAGGCCGAGAGGACAGAGAATCTCTACACTGAAGCTCACTCCAGTCCTTTCCTTGCAGGCCCCGTGAACTGGGTTCTCAGCCTGCGAGTGTTCATCCCGATTTCGCGACTCTCTTTCGCCTTCTATCTTCTGCATTGCATCGTTCTGGGGCGTCTTTACGCGTCGAGGAGAGAGTTGATTGAAGCGGATCATTTCTCATTTGCCGTGACGACTGGGGGCATCGGCATAATATCGCTGATTTGGTCTTTCATTTTCTTCGCTCTCATTGAAAGCCCCCTGTCCAATATCGTGCCTCTTTTCTTGAAGTCGAAACTGGTCTCCCCAAGACGTAGTCTCTGAAAGTTCTGAATACATCTAGGAACCGGAGTAGAGCACAGCCGTGTGCGAAGAAGCGTCCTCCATGATCTCGGAATGGAGGGACTCCATGACGGGATGGATTTGTGGTGAGGAATGGAAATTCACGTGTTTCGATTTTCTATGGGTGTTGGACTGTGCTCCTTCCCTCGACCGTTCACCAATAGAATGGGCGAATTGATATCGTATGCGAATGTATATCCCCCCACGACGAGCTCCGGAATAAATCAGGCTATGGGATGCTCCGAAATGGATGGGACGTAGCTCACTTTTATTCCGGTTGCAATATTTCCTGTTCGTACCATGCCAATAGAACCAAAGGAACAGCTTTGGTGTTGAGATTCTGTTGGATACGGAGAAGCTTCCGACCCCTGGTGGTTCTCGGCCCGGGCAGCTCGACCACGGTCGGCGATCGTGCCCGGCTGCAACGGTTCTCCAAAGTTTTCCAGATCGATCGTAAGCCGTACTATCGGTTCATCCGCCGATGCGAGCGGCTTGGGATTCTGCCAGCGGAATGAGTCGATTTGAGCTGGGATACACCGTCAACTCGCACTACGATGTTGAAGTACGGTCGACCTTCATGAACGCGTTCGAAAGTGACTCTGGTTTGTTGTTTCGGATGGAGAAGAGCACGATTCAATTCAAGCACGTGACGGCACTTACCGATCAAAATATCGAAGCTTGCTGGCGGTGTTCGCGTGATAACTCTTGCTGCCGAATTTTTCGTTTACAGTCCCAGAAAATGTCAATTCCGTTGTGTTAAACCGCTGCGAAGAAAAGTGTAGAAGATCATTACGCGAACGACGGAGTTCTCTCTGAAAACGGAAAAATAATCGCCCTAGAGCATGTTTTCTCCGGGCTGTCTACGTTTTCGAGCGTTTCCGAGGTCCATTGAGATCGTCAAAGCCGTCACTCTCCACCGGAGAGCGTGCGTTCGAGAGGTGCTTTTCGATGCCTCGATCAGAAAATGCCTCCTTGTCCACGTCCGAGAGACAATTTTCCTTTTTTCTCCGCGAGAGACAGAATTATCCAAGAATGTTTTTCTGGAATGTACATAGGTAGATTCCCGATTAAGAGAAATGAAGAATACACATTATGATCACGTGTTCGATTCTCCCCTATTCATGGAGCTAATCAAAAATATCATTGAACTTGGAGGATGGACTTGGAAGACGTTTTTGGCGTGGAGCCTCCCGATCAATTGTCCTGAAGGAAGCCGTCATGTGAGCACGCGAATTCTCTGCCTTCATATTCATCTTCCAAGCATCTGGCTGGCTCACTCATCCAATCGCCATTTCGTTTGTTCAGGAGAGGATTATCTCATGTCGAATTAACCGAAAATATGAATATCATGTCTTCCCGGTGATTCTGTCGATCTACGATATCAATGAAGTTGAAGCTTGGATGGAAATTCCGGAGTCCTTTGCTATTCGCGATGTATTCCAGCGGAGAGGTTTCGCTGGACGAGGCATGCAAGGGGGACCGACGGCAAACTGCCACCGACCACCCCGCTAAAGGCTTTTTATTCGATCTCACCTACGCAGCTTGAACGATCGTCCTTCGGTGAAAGCCCTCTTACCTCGAGAAAGCCGTTCAAGGACAGACAACCAATATTGCGCCTCACTTCGAGTGAACACTAACGCGGTATCTCCGATCCCACTCCCTTGTAAAGTCAAATTATCATTAATTCGAGCCCAGAATTTTCCCAGGCTCACCGCTGTTCTCAACCACGGAGTCACGAATGAAAATGGCCGTCTCAGGCGTGCAACTATATACCAAAAAAGGGAGTGGGCATGGCAACAAGCACGGACGATTCGACTGGAAGCTTCATTGGTCGAGTAACAGGAGAACTTTCCATGGAGCTGGCCCTCATTGTGGTAGACTTCCCGATCATTAAGCACTAGCCGACTCTTTGCGCGCCCCTCGTAGCCGGATGTCGACGTCAACGATCATACTCGACAAATACTCGAAGCTCGAGCCCCGCGGCGCATACATAGCTCTCATCGTACACACTGTATTCTCTCTTACGGTGCGTTGGTACAGCGAAGCATATCCCTACAAGTGTCAAGCGTACAGAACAGAGCCCTGTATCAGAGAATGTTCCCACAGTGGAGAGCTGAAGTCCCTTTTTCGATTCAGTCCAGGATAATCTGTCCTTGGATTATCTCGGGAGACTTTATTCACCTGGGCATTCTTTCGCCGAGAACCGGACATGAAACGGATCAGCATCACACAAGAAACCGGATGAGGAAAGATGACGAGGAAAGCGGACGAAAGGGTCATGCGGTATTCCGAGGGAAAACGACTTAGCCGCTCTCACCACGCTCCATCGGATTCTTAGGCTCAGAGTCGGCTCAAATTCTTCAACTTCAATTCGGTCCGAAATGGGCTCACTCGGAGAGTTACCGCCAGTTTGCAATGAAATGGTTATGCCGATGCTATTCATTCGTGAACGACGGGTCACTGACGTGCCAGGGGATACCGGACCACGTGAAAGAAACCGCTTCTGAAAAGCTCCCGCGGGGGTCATCCCTAGGGGACCTCATCTGGTAGTTTCCGAATACATTCGAGAAGACGGAATTCTCCGTTGCACAGATGCTCCTAATTGACCCCCAAACAGTGATAAGCAGCGATCGCGTCTGACTCGAGGCTAGCTGTCGATCGGAAACAGGGAATTCTTACTCAGGGACTCGCTTGCACTCGCAACTGAATTTCATGGGCTCAGACTGAAACACTGTGATGGCAAATGCCGCGGGGAGGGCATGCTCTGATCACCCAACATGCTCTTCATTTGACGGACATTCTTCGAGAGTTTCTACGTTGACGGGCTAGCTATAATTACCGGGCACTCTTCCAAACCTGACGGGCTTCATTCTAGCATGGACTTCACGCGATTTCACGACGGACAGTCAACGAATGGAACCTCAGCGGGGTGTCAAACGAGACGGACTTGGACGAGCTCGAATTCGTTTGTGCTTTCTCGGAGCCACAATTCCGGGTTTTCCCTCTAATCCCAAATGATATGTCATCCAATTCAATTTGGAAAACCGGACATTTTTCCCCCAGAAAAAGCAGGATCGGATATTTTTCACCAGAGACTAAATAATCGGACATTTTCCCCGTGACAGCGCGAAACCGACCTCAGAGACAGGAACCGTACGTGTCCGGTTTAATAGAAATTCTAATCATGTCCCATGGAGTTGCATGCTGGTCTTTTGGAGAGCGTTCGTTTCCCGGAGGAGCCCGTCGATATTCTCGAGCTCTTGCAGGACGCCCCAGTATGGAAGAGTTCCCCGATAATCAAAGAGTATTCAATGGTGGATCTCACGCAGAATCACTTCATCACATTCGAGTTCGATCCCTAAGAAGTGTCCTCGGGGGTGGGCATATGGCCTAGGCTACCTTGGGGTTGACTTAAATCAGCTGTATCCGTCGGTATTCATTGCGTCGATCCCATTCATTTCAAACAGGATATCTCCTAAGGACTCTTATTCTCAGATCTCGATCATAGTGTCCGGGGTCGAAATATCGCGTTTCGGCGTTCGTGCGAATCTCTGCCGGGTTTCCGTAGAATGGATGCAGGACCGTCGTCCGGAGGCAGCCGAGTGTACCTGATTAAATGAAGATTTCGAGCTTGTGTATACTCGTGACTCAACCTGTGATTTACTTGCACTTCCGGATAAACCATTTGAAATCGAAAACATAGATATGTATAGTGCACTCGGAGCTTCCGAATCCGTCACACGTGCGTAGGAATTATCGACATTATCCGAACGAATCCCTGCTCTCGCCTACAATTATTTTCGGTGTGGGTTTATCGCCTTCACGATCGACGCAAGCGATAGCAACTCGTCTCATCCAATCGAGAGCCTCTACATATATCGGGAAGTTGGTTGAGAATTTGTCTGAAGACAGAGTACGCTCGGGAGAGAAAAGCCATCGCTGAAAGGGAATGAACGAGCGCCTTTCCAACTCGGCTCCAGACTGGACTTGTTCCGTTTTCAATTGCGCGCTGTGTACCGTAGCCACAGAAAATGCGTGTTCTTGTTCAAGTCTGTACCCTCTCGGCAATCAGCTGTGTCTTGAGTACCGGTCATGGAACAGGATCCGGAAAGAGAGGTAATGTTTCGCTCTCGTCCCTCTATGTCTCAGAACTAGCTGAGGGAGTCGCTGTCTCCTCGGTTGACAGTAGTATACGAGGAATACTTGAATCGTAGGAGATCAAGATTAGTCAATGAGTCACTGATCGAGAAACACGGGAGATGATCAAATCGACGCCGACGCGGGTCCCTGAACGAAGTTCCGACGTGTACCTCATCAGGCAGATTGGCGCCGCTCTTGCGGTAACCGGTTGAACAACCCACCTCACTTGCATTGGATCCATCTCCGACATTCGAGATGGATTCAAGAATGCGGGTTGGACCTCAAGATTAAACATTATTAAACAAGATTAAACGCTTCTCGGTGCACGCGAGATTGAAGCGGGTCTCGTGCAGCTCATTTAGAGCCGTTTTATTTCAAGGAGCGATTTTCGGTGGACGTAACCGTCCGAAGACGAATACCTCGCACTTCAGGAGCCTGGAACCCGCAGTCCGCCAAATAATGAAAAGGTACCTGAAATGAAGGATGATCCATGACAGTCATCAAAAGGTTCTTCTCACTCTCTACTTTTGGAGCTAATGATGGAATTGGTATCCGAGGGCTCAGAGGGAACTGTATCCGCTCGTCGAGGATCTCATCTTCGACGCCGAAATCCCGCAGGAGTGTGGTGCTGCTTTCCAGAAAATCATGATCGGTCTGCAAAATCTGGAATATTGGGCCATTTCGTGTGAGGACCTGATGGGAATTTATTGCTCTATCTCTCACTGTGGCTTCTGACGACGACCACTTGACGATTTATCTTCTCTTGCAATTCAGTTGCGGGATCTTCAGGGGGACTGCCGTCATTCCTCGAAGGCAATTACGCGGACCTTGGGAACTACGATGCGTGTGTAAGCTCCACAGCAAGAGATTCAGAGGGTGAGCGATCGGAGGGTCCGATTTTGACGATTGCCTTCCGCAAGCGCTCTTCAGTCGATTCGCTATCGTTCGGAATTTTTCGAGCGATGACGATCTATGATAGTGATCTGGATTCCAGGAGAAATCGCCTTCACAGGACGATACTGTACTCTCCTGCTGAATGTTTACAATCCTCTTCTCGAGAAAATTCTCATCAACGCGGCGGAGACTCAACCCCACATTTCGGTTTGTTTCAATCTTGTCGACCACCACTCTGTTCGTATGATGGGCCGCTCAGACTAGCCTCAGGATATGCAGCCTAGCATCTGTTCCGATAAAGAGATGACGATGCTCTCCAGGATCTCTTCTTCAACAATACCGACCACTTCGTTGAGTTTTCCGAAAACCAGTATCTTCGCATCGGAATTTGCATCCCATCGACCTGTCGTGGCGAAAATATCGAATACGCCGTCGAGAAACGTAATTGATCAATTCCAATACGAGCAACCTGCGGACGGTGGTCGCGTTGATGACGTGCCTTGACTTCTCGAGATCGTTCCCCTTTCAGTCGGTGGGGAATACGGAATTGAACCCTGGGTTCTGGGCTGTCGGGCCGCAGCAGAAGATCCTCCTCTTACTCCTCTTCAGCAAAGTGTTATGTGAGGCATTCTGACATTCGATGTCTCAAATATTCTCAGGATTTTCGGAAGGACGGTAATTCGGGAAGTCTGTTCCGCAGTGCTGTCATATTGATTCTGGTGGCCCTTTGTGTTCTCGGGAGTTTCTTCGATGCCCAGGAGGGCGCTTATACAGAGTGCAAAGGAGGCATGTCCAGTGAGTTGCGCATTCGATGAGGAGAAAAAATAACGGGAGGGAATACGAGATGATTTATTTATACCATTCATCGGGAAGAGTGAGATCAAATCGCTTCCAGGCAGAGCCAGGGAGATCGTTCGCTGTTTTTCAATTCAAAGCAGTTGGACATCAGTCTTTGACTTCGAAGTGCGGCCGAACGACAAGTATTTAGCCTGCGTCCACGGGATCAGGGCCCTGACCGCTATCTACATAATCTGGTGCCATGTATACAGTGTCGTTGATCCGCTCAGCATCCGTGAGTAATTTCCGTGGTCTCGCGCAGAATCCCGGAGCGAGATCACTGAGCTCTGAGCTGTAATGAGAATAAACCCGGAATCGATCCTTGCAGAAAACGGCGCGCTCTTGATCAGGTGGTCGAGGTACGATATCTCCTTCGTGCCCGTGTATATGGGAGTTCTGACTGTCGATACGTTCTTCTGCATTTCTGGAGCCATGACGCTACGGACCTTCTACAAGGGGTCCCAGAAGAAAAAGGTGAGTCGACGCAACGAGGACCTCATGGTCTCCCAAGAATTTATCCACATCTTGGTGGGAACGGCGAGCGCGATCGTCCGCATTTTAAGATATCCATAGAAATAACGGCGGCGAGGGAAATCGCCGAGGAGCGGTCCGCGGAAGTCAGTGCATGAATATTTTCTCCGAACCAGGGGAATACTGTGCGTTGGCTATACTGATAGACTTTCCGTCCGCAGGGGTCTCTCCTCGCAACTATTTGCTCAGATCTGTTGCGCCGTTGGATCCGGCTGGCGATTCCCTCGGTCGCAATCATCGGCTTGTACACGATGATGTTCTTCATTGTCTCCGGTCAGTGAGTTCTCATCAAGGACCTGTTTTCGATAACGGAGTGTTCACCTATCGTGCATAGTTCTGAGAATTAATGTTCCGTCCCGACTTCCGGTGCTGTCAAACAGAGAAACTGGAAAGATCTTCATTCTAGGTCCACTGAAGGATTTCGCAGAACCTTTCTTCTGGGGACGTTGCGAAGAAATTTGGTGGACGATCCCAACAATGCTCAGCAATGTCAATCGAGTTGAGGATTCGTGCCTCCTACACCTCTGGTGCGCTACGCAACGGCTCTCATTCGTAAAAAAAATAACGGGAGGCTCGATCATTGACTGAGAGTTCAATTTTTGCTGAATGATGACCGTTCCTCGAAGGTACGTCGGAGCGGATTTCCAGCTGAGGGTTCTCTTCATCCTTCCTGTGATCGCCATCGCATCGAGATCCAAGTTCAGAGCTGTCGGAATCGTCTTCGCAGGAGCAATGGTCAGGCGAAGTTCGACACTTTCATGACAGAGTTCCATCATCATCTGGATCTGGGTCTCACGGCAACTCATTCTCTTTAAGGGCCTCGCATCTGTGCTTTACGTATCACTTACCACGTACTACAACAAGATTATTCCGGCAGCTATACCTTCGCCGAGATTACTCCCCCATGTGAGATGAAACCCGCAAACTCTGCTCATTCCCTGAATGCTGGACTCTTTCACGACCAGATGTGTGCATCAGGAACAGAGAAGTGTCCGCCTCTATTGGCATCTCAATTTCGGAATTCTCCCCACAGCTCCTTGACATGTACTACTACGTTCACTCCACGCCCTTCACTCGTTTGGCAAGTTTCGCATTGGGAGTTGGCGTCATGTTCGTCATCGAAGAGCAGCGAAGCGGTTAGTTCCACCGATCACCTTCCGAGGAGATCTTCAATTACCTTGAGCGAAGCAGAATTATACCCGAATAACTCAGCGTGTGTGCCCCATGTGATCTATCTCGCGAGAAAAACATGAGGGAAACGTTTAAAATCTACCGATACGCTGCTGCTCGCTCCTCCTCCACATGAATGTCCCTCAGATTTGTTCTCGACATTTTTGGATAGGCCTCCGAGCTCTTGTCTTCAGGTAAAATGAAAGCCTTCCCGAGATCGGTCATGCTGTCGCTCCATATCGGAATACCCTTGATCTCAGTCATCAACTTCTACCGTGAGTTCTTTCGAACGTTCTACCCGAAGCGATCTAACGTGCGACGAGTAACCTCTTCATTTTCTTTCACCCATGTCAGTGCCGTACTACTGGCAGCTGGGCGGCGACCCCTGGACTGTGTGGAGCGCTCTATACGCGGGCTTGGTTCGAGGGATATGGAGCCTAGGCGTAAGCTGGCTGATCTACATTTGCGCTATGGGCTGCGGGGGTGAGTCCGAGTCGAGCCGCGGAATAATCGACAGAAAAGCGGAGCTTCGAGGATACGATTCAGAACGCTTGAATACGTGTTCGGGAGACTACCGACTCATACATTTTACAGGCGCAGTCAATTGGATTCTCACACTGCGGGCACTCGTCCCTATATCGAGGCTCTCCTTCAGCATCTACCTGATACATATCCTAGTGTTAGAAGTCAAGCTCCTGCAGATGAGAGGAACCCACGAGCCAGGGCATTACCTACAAACTATAACAGCTCTCGGCTTAACTCTTCTCTCCATCTTCTGCGCATTTATATTCTACAGCTTGGTCGAGAATCCAGTGGCCAATCTCCTGGAGCTTTTCCGCCGCAAAAACGATGAATCGTCACTGCCACATACTGGGGCAGAAAAATTATCCAAAAACTCCGAGAACCAACTGAAGCAAAATAAAATCCCGCTCGACAGATATTGTCCCTAGCGGCTGGCACATTTCCTTGTTTCATTTATTGTGACATTCCATTGTCGACCGGAGAAATGCGGTCGCTTCAAGTCGATCTCCACCGCGCTGCATCCGGTTTGCGCTATGACGAGACCTTGTCGCCTGAGGGGCAGTGTCTCCTCCGAGGAACTTTACCACATCTCTTCACTTTTCGCTGAGCATGAGGGGTATCCTACAGGCTCGCCTAATAAATTCCGAGAGATCCGAGGCTGAAGCCTCATATTTCCAGCTCTAGGACCACCTTCAGAGATGAAGATCCACGATGTCGCCGATGAGCAGTCGCCCACATGAGTGAGGCCGGAAGCGCCCTTTGGATCCGCTCGTCTGGAAGATAGTCTCTTCGTCGTGTCACATTCATAGGCTCTGCGAGGCGTCGGAATATCTCAAGGAAGGCATGGACATAAATACACATAATGAATATGACGGGAATGACTCCTCCCGGGATGAGCTTCGCCAGAGAGCAGCTCCCTGGCCGCTGTGCCCAGCTCCCTTCGTTTACTTTCAAGAATGAGAAAACAATGCGTGGACACCCCGGGATCGGGAGCGGTACTCAGAGGCACCGAAGTGTTCTGAGGCTCGGACGATACCAAGTAACTAAACGAATCAGGACGTATGCTTCTTAGTACCCGAGCGATCCCGTCTCCGGACTCTTAGAAGAGGTGCGATGTGAGGCGTATCGAAACAAAGTGATTGATAAGTCCACGGTATATCCAACTTCGGACATTGAGCATGAGACGCCAGCATTGTTCCGGAATGTGAACATCGATCCGCTTTCGAGCTACATTTCTCAGTCATGGGAACTAGCTGCATGGGGTCTCCCCAAACTTGTTTCCCTCGTGTTGTTACTGCGTCTGAAATGTGATGCGTCGCAAGAAAAGTGAGTATGATTCGGAATGTTCGCTCACGTGTCGTCACCCATAGATCTTAAGGAATGCTCCCAACTACACCAAATGTTCTCGTGCTAGCGAGACAGACACGGCCTGCTGAATGTAGGCACGGGAGAATATCGTCCCGACTTTCGATGGTAGTGAGAGAGGCACGACGTCGTCCAGTCGAGATTGTCGCGAACGCCATTGAGAAAGTCTCTTTGTGCTGCGTAGCAAGACTCACCGGTAGAAACGCTGAAGCTGCAGGTCCCGTATCTCATTCTCTCGAACTCCGCCCGATAATCATATCGAATTTCTTCCGCTCTTTATTCCTGATTAGCGTCGCCTGCCACGCTGCGCCGCGGCTAAGAGCTTTTGTCCTACATCATAGCAGACTTACTGAATGAATCAATGTCCCTATTCGAATTCGGGTATTTTTACTTGAATCAGGCATTCGATTAATTGTGGCTCATGACATGATCAATGCCATGCGTGATGTCCATTCGTGAATTCCGATCCATGGACTCCTCAATTTCTCAATCCCCGACTTGGGAATCTTCCGCCCCATTAGCTGCATGGGAGTCTCGAAATGATGCTCGATGGTTTCCCTCCGGAAAATAGTGGACTTTCGATCGACATCAGGGACGGAAGCCGGAAAGCTGCCGGGTGTGCTCATGTGAGTTATAAGAGCCGCGGTGCCCCGAGCAAACTTCCGGAAGATGAAGGTATCGAAGACCGGAGCTGAATATCTTTCGAGATGTCTCAGACTCCTATGATCCAGAGGATGGATGCGGATTTCTTGATTGGTCGCGGTTTCTTTGCTGAGTCGTGAGGGAACTCGGATTCCTCAAATCCCTCCCTATGCTCTTGCGAAAGAAAGTCGACGTGGGTCGGAAAGCCGAGACGAAGCTCCACGAGACAGGTGCTTCCGCTCGGCCTCGGAGAGTATGCCCGTATTTCGGTTGACTACGCGCATGCCGAAGGATCGAACCCGGCTAGTCCGATGGTTTCCTTGAAGAGACTGATCCGGGTGGGGGCATCCACCCACTCCACCGTTCCAGAGAACGGCCGGAGTCTCCCTCGGACGGAAACGGCTCCGTGATAAAATGATAGGCCCGATATGAGGTCTGCATTCAGGTTCGAGCTCTGTTCCCTCTGAATGTCCCAAGAATTCACAGTATGCTCAAGTGCCACGCCAGAGGGACCTTATGTCACATGTTCCCCAGAGGTCCCATGTCATTGAGAACGGATTTCTCAGCGACGGATGTGGAAGTCCCTTGTGTGATGAGTTCAGGAGTGCCTCACATGCGGGACATCAGGCTCATCTGTTCAAGACAGGAAGCCGAAATGCGCACCAGCCTCCGTCCGGCATGTCAACAATTTGGACCATGTCTTTGTGACAACCCGATCTTCGACAGTCAGGGTTGATAAGCTTCTCCCCAGCCCGGAGAATGATAATTACACAATGCTCGATCCCAGGAAGATCCATCGAGCGATTCCATCCTCTCGGGCACCGTTCCGTCTTTCGGAATCCGGAGTGCGTAGGGACTGAGATTGTTCGAGACGAAAGGAGAGGACGACGTCGCCTGAATTGCCATGAGTTGTTGTTCAGCTGAGTCACCGTTCACCTCGGCACTGATGCTCGGTTTCACGCGCATCTCCCCTCTGGTGCTTAAACTGAGATTCCCCATTCCGATCCGCCCGGTGATGATTGTCCGGCATGATGCCCGGGACCGACTCGGGCCGAATGACCGCGGAGCTGCAGTCTAGCATGGGCTCTCTTGGACGGTCGCGCTGGACAAAGATCACAATCATCACTAGTCCCACTTTTGCTCCACTCAAGACCCAAGAGAAGCTCGCGGCCTCAACGTGTTTTTCTCAGTTTCCGAAGACAGCTCCGTTATTGAGTTCGAGGCTAGCTGCAGGACCTGCAATTGAGCACATCGTCAGTGAACTCTCTCTGGAATCTTCTGATCTCATATTCTCGGGGCCTCGAGAACAGAAGAAGCGGACCTTCGGAATTCTGCAACCCGCTCTGGAGTCCCGAAGCTGGTACTAGGAGCCAGAAACGAAAATTCGTGAAACGCTCGTCATCTGGAAGAAGAACCACTCGCTGCACTCGAAAGGTTCCGTTGGATGAAGACAATCAATTCTCGCAGCAGCTCTCCAACTCTCATTAACTCGTACTCGGTACCGATTTATTGAGAGCACCTCTGATCTCGCCATTAGCGGCATGATCGGCATGAATTGCTGTTGGGATTTGAGCTCGTAGTGAGCGGATAGGAGACATCCCAAGAATCGAGGAGAGCGTCCAGGTCTGAGCGCGATAACGGATCGCAGCTTCGTGAGCATTGGACCGGCAGACCTTGAGGCGCTCGTGACTTCATGTTGGTGGGAGAAGTGAAATCTAGAGAACCCTCTCCATAACTTAGGTATATACGATGCCCTCGGACGAACGACAGGCAGTGCGCACCTTGAGATAGTTTCTGTGGCGTTGATCCGCAATCTTTTCGAACACTCCAGTGCAACCCCCGGTCCGAATCATGTCTGCAGTGCGTCAAAATGTTCAGGAGGGTGCAGTCGAACAGACAAGCTCTGGAATGAGCCAGCCCGAGGTAACCTCAGCGAGTCCCCTGAGGGCCGCCAGGCTCTGCGATCTGACGGGCGGCGAATTCGATCCAATCAATCCGACCGCCTTCAAGCTCAGACGACTTTCCATCGACAGTCTCGAATTCGAAATAAATCAATTCGAGTTCGAAAAATCAAAAATCTCGCAAGTCATCCGCGTCACGCCCGTCGAAGACTTGCCGCGGCGCTCGAACTTGATGAAGCGCCTGCGATACTGCGAGCTTGAGAAGATGGATCGAGCGGATCTCGACAGCAGATCCTGCCTTGCCGTGCGAGACGGAGGCTCCTCCGTCTATCGAGCGGCCATTGTCAGGGCCAGGAGCCGGATGGATGTGGAAGTGTTCCTCGTCGATTACGGGAGATGGGAACTTCTCCCGGTCACGGATCTCTTCCGGATTCCGGAAGAGTTCCTCGACGAGGAGGTCTACTCCTATCCCGGTGAGCTGGCGAGAGTGACTCCGCCTAATTGTCAGATGCGTTTCAAACTCGTGACGCTGCAACATCTGAAAATCGAGTTAGAGTCCTCCAGAGTGAAAGGACAAGTTATCAGGTATGATTGAATTATGAATCCAATGTCGGAATTCTGAAATTCGATTGTATTTTCGCTCGTCTAACGGCGTCTTCTCCCTCCTGCCCGAAAGCTTCTCCGACGAGGAGCGGAAGTACAGATTTGACGTGGGCCGGAAAGCCGTAGAGCTGTACCACATGGGCTTGGTGACGCTCTGCTCTCTGGTTCCCATCAAAGAAAAGAAGTCGAAGTCCCGGCCGATCAGACCCAAGGAGGAACCCAAGGACTTGATCTTCAAGGTATGCCTGTTATTGATCTATCGGAGGATCCGGGGCGAGTTCACCAATCGCACGTTCATCGTCAAAAGGAGGTTATGATATTATATATCGATTTCATAGTCTCACGCTCGCTCTATGCTTTTGCAGAGGAAGGTCGTTGGGGACTGGGGGTCCGTCACGATGGTCAATCGTGAAGGAAGCTACTACGTATGTTCGAGCGACATCTCCCAACTGCTCGGCCTGAAGCAGAATACCTTCTTGCAAACTCTCGTCGAGAACGGGATCTGCATCGCTACTTGGGCTCCAGATTACAAGGAACTTCTAAAGTTCCGGGAGAACCATCATCGGCTGACGACCTTCACCGCCAAGGATCAGGCGCTGCTTCCTCTTGGCGCGGTTGCGCCCGCCATCAGGGCGTACCGGTGGATCACATCCAACACTTTCTGTAATGAGAAGGATATTCTAAAAGCGTTGGAGGCGCCGGCACCGTGAAGCATGGGGTCGTGATTCGTGATGAGGGCCGTCGGAGACTTTCAGTGAGAGGGTGACTGTACGAGCTTCGGGAGATGTCTCTCCACGTTACGTCGTCGGTCAAGAAACTGTGATAGGATTGATTATGCTGTAGACGTCCTCGCGGGGAGTTGTAACCACTGAGGATGTGTGTATGTGTATGTGAGGATGTGTGTATGTGTGTATTGA